TGGGCTGGGGCTGGGGCTGGGCTGGGCTGGGTCTGGGACTGGGGTTGAGGATGGGGCTGGGGCTGGGGCTGGGGCTGGGGCTGGGGCTGGGGCTGAGGATGGGGCTGGGGCTGGGGCTGGGGCTGGGGCTGGGGCTGGGGCTGAGGATGGGGCTGGGGCTGGGGCTGAGGATGGGGCTGAGGATGGGGCTGGGGCTGGGCTGGGGCTGGGGCTGGGCTGGGGCTGGGCTGGGGCTGGGGCTGGGGCTGGGGCTGGGGCTGAGGATGGGGCTGAGGATGGGGCTGGGGCTGGGGCTGGGGCTGGGGCTGAGGATGGGGCTGGGGCTGGGGCTGAGGATGGGGCTGAGGATGGGGCTGGGGCTGGGGCTGGGGCTGGGATGGGGCTGGGGCTGGGCTGGGGCTGGGGCTGGGGCTGGGCTGGGGCTGGGGCTGGGCTGGGGCTGGGGCTGGGCTGGAGCTGGGGCTGGGGCTGGGGCTGGGGCTGGGCTGGAGCTGGGGCTGGAGCTGGGGCTGGGCTGGGGCTGGGGCTGGGGCTGGGGCTGGGGCTGGGCTGGGGCTGGAGCTGGGGCTAGGGCTGGGGCTGGGCTGGGGCTGGGGCTGGGCTGGGGCTGGGGCTGGGGCTGGGCTGGGGCTGGGGCTGGGGCTGGGGCTGGGGCTGGGGCTGGGGCTGGGCTGGGGCTGGGGCTGGGGCTGGGGCTGGGGCTGGGGCTGGGCTGGGGCTGGAGCTGGGGCTAGGGCTGGGGCTGGGCTGGGGCTGGGGCTGGCTGGGCTGGGGCTGGGGCTGGGCTGGGGCTGGGGCTGGGGCTGGGGCTGGGGCTGACCCTGGGGCTGGGGCGGTGGTAGTTAGTTTTCTGTGCTGCAAACAGGCACGGGGGGTGGGGGGGTGGGGGGGGTGGGGGGGGTGGGCGCCCATCATCCATGCACTGGATCCTTCATCCACTCACTGAAATGCCCTTTTCCGGGTGAAACCGCCCGTGTGCTGGGCACAGCTGTGACCAGGTTGCTGCCCTCCCGAGCGCCCAGTCTGGTGCGGGGACAGACAACAAACACAGCAGCCCGTAACGGAGCAAAACAATATGAGGGGAGACCAAGCCGGGAGGGGGTGCTTCCCGCTGTCCGAGTTCACCTCTGCACCGCCCACTTCCTGTTAGCAGACACTTCCCTGGGTTTTTCCTCCAGCGGGAAGTGACCGTGGGCTGCTGTCAGCCTCTTCCCCAGAAGTGACCTTCAAGGCCTGAGAACGGAGAGGCTGGGAGCTGGGGGTTCCCCGGGGACCGGGCACTTCTCTGCTCTGAGCCAGGGCCCTGCGGGACAGCCTCCCGCCTGGAGAACCCGGTGCAGGACTCCCCAGGGCAGCTGGCCCGGAGCGGGAAGCCAGGAGCCAAGGTCACGCGGCAGGAAAGCAGAGGCGGGTGGAGAACAGAGGTGTCCGGACTGCTGCTCTGGGTCCCTCTGGGCCTGGAGCGGGTGGGCGCCTTGCCCCTCCCTGGCCCCACTCAGCCCGCCTCCTGCCTCCGCTGTCACATGAACAATCCCAGCCCATCCGTAAAGCAGTGTCTGTCAAGTCAGGTCTTTTGTTCCTTTTTAAACGTAAGGCATGTTTACTGTAGACAAGTTAGAACACAGAAAAGGACATAGAAACTAAGATAATCTGTTACTCCCCTTCCCAAGATATTGCTAGGGATTCATATGGCCCTGAACAAATAGCATGATACGTCTGTTAGTAGAAATCAAGTTAAAAAGGTTTCTTGACCTCTAAGTTTTTGGTGAGAGGCAATAGGGTGGAAGCTAAAAGCCTGGACTCAACCTGGGCTCTGCCATTTACCCTCCGGGCCGCCTCGGTCACCTCTCTGCCTCGGTTTCCCCTGGCAGTGGGGTCGAGGAGAGGGCCCACCGCGCAGGGCTGCTGTGAGGAGTAAATGAGGAAATGTCAGCCTGCTGTGGCTCTTATTTAGGACTCAGGGATAGTGTTATTACGACGTCTTTCTTCCGTTGGTTAGAATGTAGCTGTCTTACCTAGAATCACAATTTGGTCCTGTCTTCTGGAAGGTTCCCTGTCGAACCCCCCAGGCTCTCTCTACTAAGCTCGTCTTCTGGGGAGCTGTGGGGTGGGTGGGGTGGGGGGCCTCGATCCTACTGTTGGTGGTGCTGGGTCCTCCCCAGGCCCCCGGAGGAGGGCGCCCTGGGGCCCAGCTCTGAGCTGCGCCTGGGCCCACGGGGATTCTTGTTGCTAAAAGCACAGCTTGTGCTTTTCATAAAACTTGGCCCCCAAACACAAACCGTTTTTATCCCACCTGCTGCTCAGCCAGCGGAGGCCCAGCGCCGCGTTCCCGCCCCGGAGGCAGAGCCGGCTGTCAGATGCCCCCGGACGGGCCCGTTCTGTACTTTCCGGGCCAAGGGAGGGCTTTCACGGTGCTTTTGGCTGGACTTGGCCCTCACCAGGCCGGGTCACCTTGAACCTGGCCCTGGCTGAGACACTGGAGTGCCGTGCCGGGTGCTCAGCCTGTGCCAGGCTCTGCGGGTGCCAGTGACCCTGGCACATCAGCTGACCCCTGACCTCCAGGACGCCCAGCGTCTGGGAAGAGGGAGGAGGGGTTCCAGCCCCACAGGGTGGCAGTGGCGGGTGTCATCGGGATAAAGCACAGCTTCTGAGTGGGGCCCTGAGGTCCTCCCGACACGTAGCTCGAGCCACTCGCTGTCCCAATCTCTGTGCTTCTGGAGCACCTCCCATTCTTTCTGTTTTATTGATTTATTAGAGAGAGAGAGAGAGGGAGGGAGAAGGATAGAGATAAACATCAACGAGAGAGAAACATCCTCGATGGGCTGCCTCCTGCACACCAAGCCTGAAACTGGGGCATGTGGCCCGCCCGGGAATGGAACCCGTGACCTCCTGGTTCATGGGTCAGCGCCCAGCCCCGAGCCACACCAGCCTGCACACGTCACTGTGTGCTGCTCAGTCTCTTCTCGGTGGTCCTCCGGCCCCAAACTCCACCGCCTGTTCCGCGTCTTCCTCCCCCAGCACATTCTTCCCCACGGATCCTCTGATCGCCACATTCTGCCTCTGAGCAGCCTCCCGCTTTGCTTACTCCAGATGCCCCGTGTTCAACACGAGACTGTGGCCGCAGCATCGCGGCCACTGCTCCCTGCTCCCCTGCAGACTGTCTCTGTGCGCGGCTGCCTGGCTCCAGCACTCACTTATTCATGTAACACATGCCCACGGCGCGCCTGCTGTGTGCCAGGCACTGTGCTCGGGAGAGAGCTGAGGATGACACACACAGAGCTTGCAGTCTAATGGATGGGGGGGGGGGGGCGTGAGAGAGGAGAGAGAGAGAGAGAGAGAGAGAGAGAGAGAGAGAGAGAGAGAGAGAGAGAGGATTGTAATGATGACATAGTGTTAGGAGGGTCCAGTAAGGAAACGAAGGTAATGGGGTGAAAGCAGTGGGAATAGAAGTGGTCAGGGGGGCCCTCTCGGAGGAGGTGCCGTGTGAGCTAAGCCTGGAGAAGGAGGAGAAGGAGGCGTGAGATCTGGGAGGAATGTTCCAGGCAGGAGGGCAGCAGGGGCCTGTGGGCTTCAGGGAGTGAGGGGGTGAGGAAATGAGGAGAGACGGGGTTCGAGGGGCTGGGGCTTGAGTAGGCGGCGAGGCTTCCAAAAATTTCTACCAGGATTCCTGGTAAGAAATACAGCTCCCATCACAGTCTAAGGTCACGCACACATATGTAACTGAAACAACTTTTAGGACATGATTCTTCCCCTTCCACATGTGATGCACACAGATACTTTCTGTTCCGTTTCTTCTTTTGTTGTTAATCTTCACCAGAGGGTATTTTTCCTTGGTTTTTAGGGAGAGTGGAAGGGAAAGGGAAAGACAGAAATATCGATGAGAGAGGAACTCACATCCATTGGTCGCCTCCTGCATGAGCCCAACCAGGGCCGGGGAGGAGCCTGCAACCGAGGGGCATGCCCTTGACTGAAATAGAACCCAAGACCCTTCGATCCACAGGCTAACGCTCTATCCACTGAGCCACACTGGCTAGGTTTTTTTTTTTTTTTTTTTTTTTTTTTTTAATATACTTTCATTGATTTGAGAGAGGGAGAGAGATACAGGATCATCAATAATGAGAGAGAGCCGAAACCGGTTTGGCTCAGTGGTAGAGCGTCAGTCTGTGGACTGAAAGGTCCCGGGTTGGATTCCGGTCAAGGGCATGTACGTTGGTTGCGGGCACATCCCCGGTGGGGAGTGTGCAAGAGGCAGCTGGCCGATGTTTCTCTCTCATCGACGTTTCTAGCTCTCTGTCTCTCTCCCTTCCTCTCTGTAAAAAGTCAATAAAATATATTAAAAAAGAATCTGAGAAATATACTTTATTATAAAAAAAAAAATAATAATAATGATCGGCTGCCTCCTACATGCCCCGTACTGGGGATCAAGCCCGAAATTCAGGGAATCGAACCCAGACTTTCTGGTTCATAGGTTGGTGCTCATTGAGACACACCAGCCAGGCTATTTCATCTTTTATTTATTTTTTTTAATTAAAAAAATAAATATTTTATTGATTTTTTACAGAGAGGAAGGGAGAGATATAGAGAGCTAGAAACGTCGATGAGAGAGAAACATCGACCAGCTGCCTCCTGCACACCCTCCACTGGGGATGTGCCCGCAACCAAGGTACATGCCCTTGACTGGAATCGAACCTGGGACCTTTCAGTCCGCAGACCGATGCTCTATCCACTGAGCCAAACCAGTTTCGGCTATTTCATCTTTTAAACGTGCTAGTAGCAATCCACAAAATTGATTTCAGGGTCCAGTAATGGACTGTGACCTGAAGTTTGGTAATTTTAGGCCACTGTAAGGAACTTGGGTCTTATTTTTCAAATTGTCTTACAGTAAAAGGGACTTTTTAATCGTTTTAAGAATTGGGTGCTTATTTTAATCCCTGGGTACCAAGTGGGTGCTCAGTGGATACTGCTGAAGGAATGAAGGAGCAGGATGCCGGAGGAGGCTGGGTGTGGCGAGGGTCGGTGGGCAGGTTCTGGGCCGCAGCTGCCCACTGGGGTGGAGGTAGGGCAGCTCCTTGCCGGCCCAGGGAGCCGGCCATGTTCCTGATCCTGCGGCCGTGGTTCCTCTCTTCTCCTTCCCTCCAGCCCCCTGACCCGGTGGGGAGGAAGCCGCCCGTCCTGCCATGGGCTGGGCATGTGAGTTCTGGGGTTGTGCCGCTGGGCGGCAGGGGTCACCGCCCTTCTGCAGGGCCCAGGAGCGTAAGTAGCTGCGTCCAGGATTGGCTGGACGTGGAGGTGTCCGCGGTCTGTGTAGAGGGGGCCCCCGCTCTGGTCCCGCTGCACGGGGGCCGAAGGTGATGTCTGCGGAGCTCAGAACATGGGTCTCCACCCGCCTCAGGTCTGCTTTCTGTCTCTTGGCAGCCGGTGTCTCAGCTCCCAGGAAGGGCCTGTCCCCCTCCTCCCCGCCGCCCACTCCAGCGGAACCGGAAGACAGGGCTCAGGTAGGCAGATGCCCAGGTGGGCGAGGATGGGCGGGGGCAGCTGGCAGGGCAGTGTTCAGAGGACACTTGGACCTTTTCCCACCGGCTCTGGAAGTGGCTTCTCACAGGTCAGGTCAGGAGTGGCCAGGCCTGGGAAGGGGCCCAGGGCAGCCCACAGCACGGCCTCTGCCACCTGGGCCTGACTTAATGCGCTCGCCTGGCGAGACAGCTTCTCACCGCCTGGTGGTTCGTTCACCGGAGGCGGCTGTGCTGGGTCCTGATTCACAGAGGAGAAAACTGAGGCTCAGACAGGCCTGCTCAGGTCACAGGGCTTAGAAGTAGAGAGACTGGGAGCTAAGTCCGCTGGGGCTCCAGGAAGGAGGCAGAGGGGGCGGTGAGGACGGTCACCCCGGGCCAGCCTGCGGGGCCGCGGACGTGAGGGTGGGAGCAGCCGCCGGGAGGGGTCACCCTCAGGAAGCCCAGACACTGAAGGGAGGACCTGCCCGTTTCCATCCGGGCTTCCTGTCCTCCTCTGTGAGACAGTGACTCGCACCCTGTCCCCCTCTGGCCCAGACGAAGCGCATTAGCACCTGGCGGGTGTCCGCAGTGCTGGGGGGTGGGGGGGCAGCGGCCATGAGAGGGACTGGGGTGGCAGGTGACCGAGCCCCCACCCCAATCTGCCCGCCCGTACCCGCAGGGCGAGGAGCTGGCCTCCGGGCAGCTGTCGGAGCCGGAGGGGGGCGCCCAGCGGCCCCCCAGCAGCGTGTGCGCGGCCTGCGGGCAGCACGTGCACCTGGTGCAGCGGTACCTGGCGGAGGGCCGGCTCTTCCACCGGCACTGCTTCCGGTGAGCGCGGGGAGGGCTCCGTGGCCCGGCACCGCCGTGGGGGCACCCCGCTTGTCTCCTTTATGGGGAGCGCTCCGGCCGGGCGAGGGGAGCCGGCTCGTGGTCCTGAGAGCGTCTCTCGGAGGGGAACCCCGGGTTTCAGGAGCGCAGTCTGCTTTAGAGGCCGCTGCAGGGGGGGCGGGGGGGGGGGAGGGGGAGGGGAGGGGGGACAGGGGAGGGGGGAGGATTTGTAAAACGCGCAGTGACAGCCTGCTCTCTGTGCGGCTCCCAGTGGAAGCGGTTAAAGAGAACGGAATAAGAAGCAAGGAAAGTACAAGCCATTTAGGAGAGGTGTGGCACAGGGAGAACTCGGGAAAGGAAACTGAAGCGTCGAGGGAGCTGGAGTCTGACAGTTGCAGGATGCACTCTCGTGGCTTAGTGTGTGTGTGTGTGTGTGTGTGTGTGATGGGTGTGTGTGTGTTTATAAAACTTTTTACAGAGACCCCGTGACACCCCCAAGTAAGAGACCCACTTAACATTGTGACGAGGTGTGAACACACACCTGAGTAAACTTGTAAAGGCGGAGGCACAGCTGGAGTAAGAGTTTGGAAAAGCAAGTGTGACCCTCTGACACTTTGTGGGTTTCTTCTGTCCACAAACAACCAAACCAACAACCCGCTGCCCGAGACCGGCCTCAGGCCTGGCCCTCGTGCTGCCCGCTCGCCGTCCCCGGGGAACTGCTTCCTCTCGGCCAAACCGAACCGTTTCGCAATCCCTCTGCTGGTTCCCGTGGCTGTATCGTTCTGCTGTGGTCCTGACAGTTCCCGTGTTCCTTTTCCTCCGGGGAGTCAGGGCATTGAGGCAGGATCCGGCTGGCATTCGGGAGGAGGGGGAAGAGCTGGGGTGCGGGAAGAGGGGCGGCCGCACGCCGGGCCGGCTGCCTGGTCCGGCTCAATGCCCATCCCGTTCTCCCTGGCAGGTGTCGGCAGTGCTCCAGCACCCTGATCCCCGGGGCCTACCGGGCCGGGCCTGAGGAGGGCACCTTCGTGTGCGCGGAGCACTGTGCCCGGCTGGGCCCCGGCGGGCGGGGGGCCAGGCCCCGGTCCCCACCACAGCCGGAGCGACAGCAGGAAGAAGGCAGGGACGCGGCAGCGGAGGCCACGGATGTGGAGGGCGGCGGCCCCAGCCCGAGGGCGGCCGCGGGGGCTGAGGCCCGGCCCCGGGTGCCCACCAAGCCCTGCGTTCCGGACAGACCGCCGGATCCGGCCAGCCCCCAGGCCGGCCGCCCCATGCCCGCCCCCAGGAAGACCGTGGAGGGCACAGCCCCGCCGCCCTCCGTGCCCCCGACGCCCCGGCCCCGGTCCAGCCTGCAGCCGGAGAACCCGGTGGAGCAGGGAGGCAGCAGCCTGGTGAACGGTGAGCGGGGTCCGTGTGTCAGTGACACGGGCCCTGGGCGTGCTGATGGGGCCTGTCTGTGTCTGTGTCTGTGTGTGGAAATGCAAACGGTGACTGAGGTCGCGGGCACAGCTGGAACAAAGCAGATGCACACAGCGGGTGCCCAGGCTGCCATGCTGTGTGTGTTGGGGTGTTTGTGTTCTTCTGTGTGTTTTGTGTGCATCTGTTTTGGAGTGTGGAGCAAGTGCACACAGTGTGTGCCTGTGTCCCGACTGTACCCGGGGCTGTGCGCCCGGCCATTTTTTTTTATTATTTTTTTAATCTTTAAAAAAAAATTTATTTTATTTTATTGATTTTTTACGGAGAGGAAGAGAGAGAGATAGAAAGTTAGAAACTTCGATGAGGGAGAAACATCAATCAGCTGCCAAGAATGCCCTTGATCGGAATCGAACCTGGGACCTTTCAGTCCGCAGGCCGACGCTCTGTCCACTGAGCCAAACCGGTTTCGGCGTGCCTGGCCATTTTGCATGCTCCCTCCGGGTGACCTCCCTCACGCCCAGCCATGTCCTTGTCTGCCTCTGAGCGGGGTGTGTCCCTGGTCAGGGGGCTCTGATCAGGCTGTGGGGAGACCCCCGGCCCGGCCCTCATGGCAGGACTTTCCGGATGACCTGCCTGGGCTCCGTGAGCCCGCCAGGCAGGCTCCGGCGCCCGATGTGCTGGCAGCCCTCTCAGCTGGTCAGGGAGGGCGCTTAGGCTGGGAGGCCCGTGGGGCTGGGGCAGACGGTGCTCCCGTGTGCCTCCGGGTGTAGCCAGTCTCCGGGGAGCCTGAGGTGTTAGGGGGGCGGGGGCTGCTGTGGGTTCAGGAGGCACTGGGGTCAGAGGCCGCCGGAGGAGTGTGCTGGGTGCGTGGAGACGTTCCGGTCACAGGGCAGGTCTGAGGGCTGGGCTTTCCCGTCTCAACGGAAATGCAAATGGGGTCTCAGGCCCTGTCCTCGCCTTCCACCTCCTCGGCCTGTGCCCTCCGGTGCTTATCTAATCTCCCTGCGGGGGGGGGGGGGGGGCGTGTGCAGGGAGGTTGCCATGGCCACCTGCCAAGGTGACGGGCAGGTAGGAAGGAAGGGCACTCCTCCGTGAGGCGGTCACTCTGGCTGGCCACTGCGCTGCCCAGCCCACAGCAGCATGAGGGCCTGTCTCACCCTCCTTTCCCATCTAGGACGGCTGAACGAGCCCCCCGTCCCCAAGCCGAGAGGGACGCCCAAGCTGTCAGAGAGGTAGGGGCCCAGAGGGGCTTTCGGGCCTGGTGGTGGGAATGGGGGCTCCTGGGACCTGCTGGGGAGGCACAGACCCACTCTGCACCCGCCCAAGAATGGGCAGGGTCATCTCTGGGTGGGGGAGGCGTGCTGAGCTCCCGGGGCCCCTGTCCTGTGGCAGCGGTGCCAGGCGGAGGCCCACCTCTGCAGTCCCCTCTCCTTCTCTCGCCTGCGCTGCCTTCGTGACGGGGGCGGCCGGGCGCTCACTGGGCTGGGAGGGTTGGCAGCAGGTGCAGAAACGCCAGCACAGCGCGGCTGGTACCTGCTCAGCTCCTCCACCCGGGACCCGGGTGCCCCCTGTGGGTGACAGCACAAGAGTAGTTCAGACTCAGTGAGCACTCACTGCGGGCCAGGTGCTGTGCCCGCTGGACCCTCCTGTGACCTGTGGGCTGAGGTCACTGTTGTCCCCGTTTCCTGGGTGGGAGGCGCATGCAGAGGGAGCCCGGGGGTCTCCTGGGCTGGGCTGTGTGGCCTCCAGGGGTCCCGTGGGGACGTGGCTGTCAGTCCGTTCAGCCTGCGGCCCGGACGGGGCCCGTGCTGGGGCGGAGGCGAGGAGGCGTCCCTTTGGGAACGGAGGAGCGCCGGCCAGAGGGAGAGGCCGCTGCCCTCCCTCCTGAGGCCCCTGCCTCTGCTGCGCCTCCAGGACGCCCGCCCCCCGGAAGGACCCTCCCTGGATCGCGCTGGTCCAGGCGGAGACGAAGAAGAAGCCGGCCCCCCCGCCCCCGGGCAGCAGCCCCCGGCCGCCCGGCCGGGACAGCAGGCGGGCGGAGGACGGCGGCGAGGAGGCGGCCCCCAGGAGCCCGGCGGCCGCTGGCCCGGAGCCCAAGCCCTACAACCCCTTCGAGGAGGGGGAGGGGGAGGCGGAGGAGCCGCCTGCTGCACCCAGTCCGGCCACCAGCCCTGCCCAGGCCCCCCCGGAGTCCGCACCCAAGTCCCTGCACCCCTGGTACGGCATCACCCCCACCAGCAGCCCCAAGACCAAGAAGCGCCCCGCCCCCCGGGCGCCCAGTGCGTCCCCGCTCGGTGAGTGTGTGCCCGGGAGCTCTCCTGACATCGGAACGCGGGGGTCAGGGCCGGAGCGGGGTGTGGCTGAGCAGTGTCCCCTCATTTATCCTGGAGCTACCCTGTGGGATAGGTCCCTGCCCCCGTTCCCAGGTGGGGAAACCGAGGCACAGAGAGGTGAGTGGTTTGCCCAGGTCCTCACAGCATTTAAGCAGCGGAGGCAAGGTTTGCATCCAGGTCCGGACCCTCCGTCTAGCTCTGTGCCGCCCTCCCAGGGCTGCTGAGAGTTCCCGGGGGAAGTGTTGAGCAAGGTGCCGGCTCCCGGGAAAGCGGGTGGCAGGGCTTAGCTGGCTCCCGGCGGCCGCTGACAGCCTCCCGCTCTGACCTGGCTGTGTGGGTCGGCCTTGTGACTTTGAGAGTTGCTTCCCGTGTCTGTCCTGTGTCTGTCCGGGCCTCTCATCCGGAAGCTGATGGTGGTGGGCCAGCTCCGGACGTGTGTCCCTTTGGGGCACTCCCCCTCTCCAGCTGGCCCTGGGCCCTGTCACCTTCCGCCATGGCTGGGCCGGCTGCCTCCGAACCTCAGGGAGCCCTCAGATTGTGGGGCCTAGGGTGGGTTGGAGATGATCACAGGCAGGTGGTCCGGGGTCCCCTCTCTGGCCCTGCTGGAGCCCTGAGACCCTCACCCTGAGCCAGTGGAGGTGGTGGGCGGGGTGAGACGCAGAGATGAGTGCTGGGTCAGACTCGCTGGTTCACCCCCAGCTGCTGCCGGTCGGTGCCGTGGCTCTGCCTGCGGCCTCGTCTGGGACCGCAGGTGACGACACAAGCGTGGTGTCGTCGCTGCCCGAGGATGTCACGGTGCAGGCAGAGCTGGCCCAGGGCTGGCCGCCGAGGCTGCTGCTCCTCCCGCTCCTGCGGCCCCTGCCCCGCTGCTCCTGGTGGGGGCACAGGCCCGGCCGCCTCGCTTTCCTTTCCATTTCGTCTGTGCCTCCCCTCCCCTGGCAGATTTGCCTTTTTTAAAAAAATTTTCTTTAAGGCTAAAATTTTATTTATTATTTTCAGATTTGCCTTTTTTAAAAAATATATTTTATTGATTTTTTACAGAGAGGAAGGGAGAGAGATAAGAGAGTTAGAAACATCAGTGAGAGAGAGTCATCGATCAGTTGCCTCTTGCACGCCTTCCACTGGGGATGTGCCCGCAACCTAGGCACATGCCCTTGACCAGACTCGAACCCGGGCCCTCCAGTCCACAGGCCGACGCTCTAGCCACTGAGCCAAACTGGTTTCGGCAGATTTGCCTTTTACACTTGGCTTGGCTTGGGTCGGCTCAGATCGGGGAGGGGAGGTGGAGATGGTGGCCTTGCTGGGCTCCCTCTGGACGTGGGAGGACATGGTGTCCGAGGCCCCCAGATCTGTTGAGGGGGCCGTGTTAGATGTGGCGCCCACTCGCTCATCTGCTTTTCAGCCCTCCACGCCTCCCGCCTCTCACACTCGGAGCCGCCCTCGGCCACCCCGTCGCCGGCCCTCAGCGTGGAGAGCCTGTCCTCCGAGAGCTCCGGCCAGCCCACCGGCGGGGCCCTCCTGGAGCTGCCGGCTGTGCCCAAGAGCTCCTCCGAGCCTGCCGTCCACGCCCCCGGCACCCCCGGCACCGCTGCCAGCCTCTCCGCCGACTCCTCCCTGTCCTCCTCGGGGGAGCTGGCGCAGCCCGCCCCGGACCGGACGCCTCAAGCCAGCCCCGGCCTCGCCCCCAAGGCCAGGGGCAGCCCGGGCGCCCCGCCAGCCAAGCCCTGCAGCGGCGCTGCCCCCACCCCTCTCCTGTTGGTGGGAGACAAGGGCCCCGGGCCTTCGCCTGGCACCTCATCCCCACAGCTCCAGGTAAAGGTGAGTGCCTCGCCCTCGCCCGGAAGCTGGCCTGTCAGTGACTGGGGTCTGGCCTCGGGGCAGGAATGCCCATGGCCACCATCTTTGCTGGCCTCTTCCTTCTTGACTGACCTGGCCGTGCCCATCTACTCACTCACCACTCCATTCACGGAGGCACAGATCCCTCTGTCTGTCGTTCGTCCATTTCTTCACCTGTCCGCCCGCCTGGCCCTAGGCATTGGTGCATTCTGGCGCCTGCTCACCTGCCTGTCCATGCACCGTTCCACTCGGGATCCGCCCACCCAGCCATCCATCCACGTCCTCTGTCCCCCTCTGCTCTGAGAGGCCCTCCCAGGCCCGTCCTGCACTCTTTCTGCCCTTGGGGTGGAGTGGGCATGAGGCGACCATCCAGGGAGCTTTGAGGGCTGTGTGCACTCTTGTTTCAGTGCCACACCAAGAAGGGGGGTCACCAGGGGTCAGGATGGTTCCTGAGGGGCCTCTCCTGCAGCCACAGCCCCTCTGGGCCACCAGGTTCTGATCGTCCACTTTCGCCCCCCACTCTGCAGCTCTGCAGGCCCGAGGCCGGTCCAGCCCCGGGGGAAGGGACAGGACGGCTCCTATGGCAGCTGTGGGCATGGTCACCTGACAGAGGACAAGGCCGGGAGGCAGCTGAGCTATTGGTCCAGCCTCTGCCCATGTGCCTCTCGGGCATTTAACCTTCCCTGACCTCTGCCAAGGCTGCCTGCCAGCTCTGCCACCACCTGCTAGACCTGGAGAAGCCGCCCCGCCCCTTCCCTGGCCCCGCCCCTTCTCTAGGCCTCAGCGGGATCCTTAGTGGCAGGTGCGGGAGGGGTGACTTTGGATCCTCTTCTTTAGGCCGCTCCCTTTAAACACTCTTTTGGGTGAAGGAACTGTGTGTCTGAGAAAAGGCCGAGGGCCCCCAGGGGCTGGGGTTTCAGGCTGTTCGGCCCTGCTGAGCCCCTCAGGTGTGACTGGAGAGGAGGGAGAGTCCCAAATGGGCTTCCTCTTGAGGCACCCCACACCCTGACCCCACAGTGAAGCGAGGGTGGCAGAGGCACCGTGGGCAGAAGAGGGGCTTGGGTGGGTGCTGTCCTCGGGAACCATACCTGCCTCCTGCCATGCCTGCATCCCTGAGGGAGCCTCTCCCCGGGCTGCACAGGGGTGAGCAGGGCCCCCCTGCCTCCCCAGCGGCTGGAGAAAGCTGGGTAAACACTCGGGACACTCCATGGCGTGTGAGGCCTCTCCATGGGCCCTGATGACCCCCGTGCTTCCAGGGGGCTGGGAGGTGGTGGGAGGGGCTGGGGCTGCCGGCTGTCCCCAGAGGGACAGAGAGAGGCGGGCTCAGTGCATGGAGGGGCCAGTGGAGGAGGGGGCTCTTTGCTGGGCAGGGGAGCTGCTCTCCGCTGGGTGGAGGGGCGGTGCTCCTGCTTCCTGCTTCCTGCCTGGGCCGCGCTGGGCAGGGGCAGCGCCTCTGAGCCCGGGAGGCGCTGGGGAAGGCGCGGAGGTGAGGCTGAAGGAGCTACCGCTCTGCTGGCCCCAAACGCCCAAGACCTGGCCCTGCCCCAGGCCGGGTGGCTGCCCTGCCTGAAACAGACTCAGCTGGCTCGGGCCCTTGGGAAGTGCATGACCTTGAGCGATTACTTAACCTCTCTGAACTTGAGTTTGAGCTGTAGAGTGGGCATTACAATACCCACTTGGCGGAGCGGCCGTGAGAACTAGACACGCACGTGTCCCAGTTCCCAGGGGCAGCTGCCCCGCGGCTGGGGGATGGGCGTGTGTGGGAGACAGAATGGGGGGTTTCCTCTCTGCGGGGGCCTCCCCCGTGCCCTGGGCAGCCTGCTTCCCCAAGTCCCACTGCTCCCTTCCCAGACTCACCCTCTGTCCTGTCGCCTGCCTTTAGTCTTCCTGCAAGGAGAACCCTTTTAACCGGAAGGCGTCGCCCACAGCGTCCCCCGCCACAAAGAAAGCCACCAGAGGACCCAGGCCGGCCCGGCCCCCGGCCCCGGGACACGGCTTCCCACTCATCAAGCGCAAGGTGCCTGCCAGGAGCTCCGGACTGCGGGGGCCCAGCCACACCCGTCCCCTTCCCCCCCCCCTGACCCCCCCTCCGGGGCACTTGGGGAGGATGGGCTCCCGGGCAGCTCTGCCCAGAGGTGGGAGAGGGGCGCGGGGGTGGTCCAGCTGGAAGGTTAACGTGACCAGGGCGGTTCGAGCAGATCAGCTGCCTCCAAGCAGGAGCAGTGGGTGGGGCCTGTAGCTCAGGAGCAGAGCGCTCAGATGACTCTCGTAAGAGAATCTAGGCCAGTGGTCGGCAATCTCATTGGTCACCAGAGCCAAATATCAACAGTGCAATGACTGGCATTTCTTTTGAGAGCCGAAAACCGACTTCTGCACACAGGCCAGGAAGTTTCAACCGCACTGTACGTGCGCACCCACACGTGGTATTTTGTGGAAGAGCCACACTCAAGGGGCCAAAGAACCACATGTGGCTCGAGAGCCGCAGTTTGCCGACCACGGTTCTAGTGCTCTCCAGTGTCCCTCTGTCTATAACAGGCCACTCTCACTGGGATGTCGCTCAGGGAGTGGCAGGGAAGGGGCAGGGCGGCCACCAGAGGCGGGAGGTGAGCCTCCCTCGGTGTGTGCCCACTGGTGCTGGGCAGGGGCATGGGGCGGCCGTGTCTGTGCCCACAGCACCCCTTCCCCGCCTGGGCGCTGCAGGGGGCGGGGCGGGCGCCCGGGCCCTGGCGGGGCTGCTCCTCGGTGACCGGGTGCTGTCGGGCAGGTCCAGGCTGACCAGTACGTCCCCGAGGAGGACATCCACCGCGAGGTGGACACCATCGAGCGCCAGCTGGACGCCCTGGAACTGCGTGGGGTGGACCTGGAGAAGAGGCTGCGAGGCGGGGTGAATGGTGCGAGAGCTGGGGGTGGGGGGGAAGGGGAGGTGGCGGGCGGGCGCGGGGGACGGGGGCGGGCGCCGCGCTCGCTGAGGCGGGCCCGCTGCCGGCCTGGCTCAGTGGCATGTGGTTGCAGAGGGCCACGAGGACGACATGCTGGTGGACTGGTTCAGGCTCATCCACGAGAAGCACCTGCTGGTGCGACGGGAGTCCGAGCTCATCTACGTGTGAGTCCCTCCCCGGCCGCTCCCCCTCCCCGCTCCCGCCCCATCCCACTTCTTCCCGCATCTGACCGCGTGGGCCTTGCGTGGGGCCGAAGTAACGTAACAGCCGTCTTACTCCCACCCCAGCTTCAAGCAGCAGAACCTGGAGCAGCGCCAGGCCGACGTGGAGTATGAGCTCCGGTGCCTCCTCAACAAGCCCGGTGAGTGCCGCCAGGCCTGGGGCCCGGGAGCGGCCCATCCTCCCCTGCAGGCTGGGGGTGGACGGACGGCGCCCTGATGGGACTCGCCGGCTCTGGGAACGGCCAGGGAGGGCCAGGAGGCGCCGTCTGGGTGTCGGTGCATCAGTGACCGTGGTCGGAGCCAGCGGGGCGGGTGGCCACACGATGTGGGAGATGACAGGCCACAGAGCGAGCTCAGGAACAGACACCCGTGGCTGCCCCTCAGGGAACATGTGGGCGGGTGGATCCCCGGGGGTGGGGCTCAGGCTCCAGAGCCCAGGGCTGCTCTGACGAGCAGATGACAGCAGCTTCCTGTCCAGAGGCAGCTCCGGGCTCACGCCCTGAGGCTAGAGCAAGCACGTCCAGCTCTGGCCGCTTGCTTGGGCTGGAGCTCAGCTGGACCTGGCAGCACGGGGAGGGCCAGGAGGGGGAGCCCTGCGCAGCGTGACTCAGAATGACGGGAGGAGGGGAGGACCGCTCAGGACGGTGGAGGGGCAGCTGGAGGGTTGGGTGTGGAGGCAGACCATCCTGTGTTTTGCTGCTAATGTGCTGGGGGCGGGCCTTCCTGAGCCTCAGTGGCTTCAGGTGTCAGACAGGATGAGGGTACCCACCTCACAGGCGTTCTTGGGACCAGGTGGCGTGGATGTGGGAGTATTCTGAGGGGCGGACAGTGATGGTTATTACGTGGCTGGGTTGGGGTCTGTGGCTGTAACATGGGAGCCGCAGCTGTAGCCCAGAGGCCCAGGGACGGTGGAGTGTTTAGAGTGGGAGCCGGGCTCTGACCACTCTCTGTGGCCCAGGGTGGCACCGTCATTTCCACAAACAGGTGAGATGATGCGGAGCAGGGAGGTGGAGCTTTGCCCATGGATGGTGAACCTGGGCCTGACCCTGTGGACACAGCCCTTCCTGCCAGCGGGGTCGGCGGCCCTGCCTCTCCATTGACTGGGGAAGCTGGGAGTGTCCCTGGGAAGGCCTGGGAGAGTAGTCAGTCCCTCCCAAATTTCAGGAAGGCTAAGGAGCGGCCACACTGGAGGGAGCCAGTGACACCCTGTGGCCAGAGTGGGCACAGCACCCGTATGCCGGCCAGCCTGGCTCTGGCCTTACTGTTGCTTGTCTAGCCCTCTGTGTGGTGACAGCTCATCCTGGTTTTGTCACCCTGTCCCAGAGGTTCGTTGGCGGGGTGGGACTGGTTTATAAGGCCCCAAGAGGGTTGGAAACCTGTAGATACCCTAAGGACTGCAGATGGGGAGTGTCAGGTAGCCCAGGTGCAAATACGGGCTCCATCCTTGCTGTGTGACGTGGCCTCTGCTGCTGTCTTGTGGGAGGTGAAGTGGAGGGACTCTGAGGCATGGCTGGGGGCCCAGATGCTTATTTCAAACTGGGAGTCCTGTAGTGGCAGATGTGGGGGGAAGGCCAAGGGTGGGCACCCACCTCCGGGGGCTTGCATGCTGGGTGGGAGGAATCTGAAGGGGCAGGTGGGTCCTGAGGTGGTGCTTGCGGATTCTTGAGAGGAAGCTGGAGGAGCAGCAGGGTCCTCTCTGGTCTGCCCTCCTTCATGGCATTAATGTCCCACTAAGCCACGCGGGTTACCTGGCTTCTCCTGCACGAGGGCCCTGGGATTCCCTGCTCCCTCTGGCCAATCCTGCCTCCTCCAAGAAACCACGCGAGCACTTATGAATGAGTGAATGCACAGAAGCAGGAAGCCATCTGGCATGCACTGGCCTCTGCTCTCAGAGCAGGTGCTGGCCGGCCCCCTGAGCGCCCCCGGGTGATGTTTTTGGAAGGCAGCCCGTCACCTTGGTCTCTTCTATAATGACCTTCATCTTTCCCACCACGTGGACTCCCTCCATCTGCTCCCCCGCCCTGGCCTCTAGCACGGGGCTGGCCCGGACTCGGCTCGTAGGGGTTGCTGCCTGGCTTCCTGGGAAGGCAGGAGGGTTTCCCACCACTCACAGCCCCAACTTTCTCCTTGGGCAGAAAAGGACTGGACGGAGGACGACCGCGGCCGGGAGAAGGTGCTGATGCAGGAGATGGTGACCCTCATCGAGCAGCGCAATGCCATAGTCAACTGCCTGGATGAGGACCGGCAGAGGTGACTGGGCTGGGTCAGGGCTCCCGGCTCCTGGGGGAGGGGCTCAGAGAGGCGGGCCCGCCCTGCCCTCACTGCAGCGACCCCAGTGGCCCCTTCCACCTGGGGGGGGGCGGAGGCTGGGAGGGACTGGGATTCCTGGCCCTTCCTCCTGTGGACACTCAGTTCCCTGTCTCCTTTCAGGGAGGAAGAGGAAGATAAGATGCTGGAAGCCATGATTAAGAAGAAAGGTGAGGCCCTCCTCGGCGCTGGGCCCTCTGGCCTCCAGGTTGAGCGGAGGGATGGCCTGTGCCCACTCCCGGTTCTGACGTGTTGAGAAGGCCGAGTGGCGAGGCAGGCGGCCTGTGGCCAGGAGGCCGTGGCCTGGGTTCGGAGGGTGGCGGTGGGCTGCCCGGAGTTCCCGCCCGAGCTCTGCATTCCTCCCGGGAGCTGCAGTGGCCTTAGAAGCCTGTGGGCTCCAATGGCAGCACTTCCAGCAGTAAGGCAGCCTGCAGCGGGGAAGGGAGCACTGAGCGGGGAGGAGACCTGGGCTTAATCTTCGTTCCTCCGTGACTCATGCTGTGGCCTTGCGGCTGCGTCTAGACTCCGTCAGGCTGCTGAGCGTCCAGTCCCACTCTGGCGGGTATTAGTGGGGGCCCGGACCTGACTCTCGGGCTCTCAGAAGGGGTGGCAGAGGCCCCTTCTCCTGGGCGTGTGCGGAGGGTACTGGGGCACGGCGGGGCCTGGCACCTACAAAGAGCTCAGTCGGTGCGAGTCCGTTGCAAACCCACATTTTCTCGCCTGTAAAGCCGGGGGCGGGGAGCGATGCTTTCTGAGTTTCTTCCTGCTGAGTTAGTGTTTGTGTTGTAGCCACAGAGCTGTGAGCACCGGCCTAGGGACTGGGCCTCTTAAAGATAAACGTGTGCCACACTTCAGAGTTCTCACATTCCTTTATCTCGGATCCTTGCCAAAACCCTGAGAGAGAATCTGGTTCCCATCCTGCAGGCAAAGAAGCAGAGGCTGAGGGCGGAGTGACGGCCCAGGGCTCCCGGGAGGAGGTGCCGGCTCTGTCACAACCCGCCCCCCATGCTGTTCAGGCTCCCCTTTCTCCTGCAGAGTTCCAGAAGGAGGCTGAATCCGAGGGCAGCAAGAAGGGCAAGTTCAAGAAGGTGAAGGTGCTGAAGCTGCTGACACCAAATAAGCGTGACGCCAAGAGCAAGTCCCCCGGGGACAAGAGCTAACAGCGAGGGCACCCCCTCCCGCCGGCTCAGCCTGTCCGGCCTGGTTCCGACGACTCAGATGCTGTGACAGACCCGAGGAGAAAGCTCCTCGGTCCTTCCCCTGAGGTGTGCGCAGGCCTCCTGCCTCCAGGGTCCTGCTCGCAGGCAGAGAGCAGGGCTTGGCTGCGTGGCTGCCTCCTGCCCGCCGGGCCGGCTCGGTCCCCGTCCTCCTCGCCGGGCGGGTGGCCAGTCTGCTTCTCCCTCGGGAGCTCTATTTATGACGTCTCCGTGTCACTCAGTGACTGTGTCCTCAGCTGAGTGGGGCTGATGGACGAAACCCTCCCTCTGTCTCTAAGTTCTAGGAGGTGCTTCCCTCGCTCCTTGCTCTGTAGGGACCTCGCAGGACAGGGGCTGTGCTGGCCGCACAGGGAGCTGAGTCTCCCCAGGAGTCTCGGAGGCAGGCTCGGTGGCAGCTCCCGATGGACTGAGGGGTCTGCTTCGCGTAGGTGCTAATCCCGATCTGACACTGGAGTGAGGCCCATGGAGGCTCCCCACGCCCCCCAGGGGGTGCGGGCCCATCCCTGCGTGTGTCACCACCTGTCTGTCTCCTCACACCCCTGTTGCTTGTTCTTCCCCCACCTGTTCCCACCAGAGGACTGAGGCCACTCCCCCCTGGGAGGAGCGGGGGCCGGGCCTTCTCCCTGGACTGTGCCAGCAGCTCTCGGCCGAACCCGCGGCTATAGCTGGTCTGGGGCCTCAGGCCCCTTCCTCAGCACCCCTCTGGGAAGGATGGCACTGTGTTACGCCCACAATAAACGGAGACCTCCTCACTGCAGTGCCCGCAGCCTCGGTGCTGTGCCTGGCCAGCTCTGCCTTCCTTCCCGCCTCCAGGTGCCCGGCCTCACTGGGGCCCAGGAGGCGTGGACGGCTTTGGCCTCACTGCTGCCCTGGGGCGGGACGCCCTGGCAGCCCCCTTCTCGTGTGCCTACTGCTCTGGGGCCGGGTCGCCGACTCCAGGGCCTTCCAGGGGCCAGGATGCGCGGGCCGCGAGCGGTGGCTCCACTGAGCTGCCTCCATGTCAGGAGACTCGGGTGGTGGGAATGTGCCGTGTCATCATATCTTTCCATTTTTCAAAAGAAGCTAGAAATCCAGATTGTGTGTGTGTGTGATTTGTAAACGTTGGCGACTAATCTGAGATTAAATGAGGGCGGGTTGAAGGTATCTGGGTTCTCCAGTGGGCTGCCTCGGGGCAGGGCGGTGGGCTGCTGCGCTGGCTTTGTCTGTTGCGCCCTCTGGCCTCAGGTTCCAGGAGAGTGTGGACACAGGCTTCCCAGAGACTGTCCCTGAAGCAGCCCTTGATCTGGCCCTACTCCCTTATCTGAGGCTGCAGGTAGAGTTTACCCTACAGACTAAACTTGGGTCATGTGGCCTGCAGGATTTTATGACTCCCAGGTGGGTGGGCTGCTGGAAATTCCCAAAATATGGTGACTTATGGAGACGGGAAAAGGACAGAATACGGGGACGGAGGGCCGTGACTGCTAAAGCCACGGGGCTGTGCAGTGTGCCAGGCCTGGGCTGCTCTCCCGGGCAGACGCCTCCTTTGAGGCTGGGCCTCAGAGGAGAGTGGGAGCTGAGGCTGGGGTGGGAACCAAAGCCAGGGCCCGGTCTGGACCCTTCCCAGCCCTTTGTTTCTTCCTATGGCGGTGGGTTTAGTGGAAAGACGCAAAGCTGACTTACCCGAGTTGGCTGCTTGCTAGTGATGCGGCCTTGGTGCTCACAGCGTGGCGAGCCTCCGTTTTCACGCAGGATGACGCACCACGGGGGCGGGAAGGGGGGGCGCGGAGGAATGGAGAGGATGACTGAGAGGAATTCAGTACCTGCCACAGTGCCCGCTATGGGGCGCTCAAGAGGTTCCTTCCCTTTTCCACTTGAAATATGCAAACAGCTAGAAACATGCCTGAAAAAGTCTAACTCCTTGAACAAATAAGGCTTATCCCTCTGGAAACAAAACCGTGTGTGTAATGTGTAATGACCTGCGTTAACTGTGTTTTATTGGCCAATCAGTCGTCATGGTTAAACATTTGCCTAAGAATGTAAGAAGTCCAAGAAGTAGGCCCTAAGGCAGGCAGGACGAGAGGAGCCACGCTCATTCCCGAGTTCAGACACTAACGTGGGGCACCCAGCGCTGCAGGTGGCAGGACGCGGGCCTGTTGGCGCCCACGATGGGGAGACTGACTTTGCCTTCACTCCGAAGGCGGCTCTTTCCCCAGGAAAGATTCAAAGCTGTGTGTGTGTGTGTGTGTGTGTGTGTGTGAGAGAGAGAGAGACAGAGACAGAGAATGGGGAAGAGACTAGGTTTCAAGAGGCACAGCCTGGGTGCAGTCTCTGATGTCCATTTTATAGGGTGTGTGTGTGCCCGGGTACCCGTACCCTGGGCCAGGGCAGTGCTGTATGACCACATGGCTGGCGGCCTGAGTGGGTGGGCTGACCTGGGATGACCCTCTTGGCAATGAGTGGGCTCCAGTGGTCAAGGATGGGCTGCTCCGCCCCTGGAGACAGGTTAGGCGGTGGCCAGAGCCTTCCTCAGTTCCTTGCTCCGCTGGTGGTCAATGTCTTCCATTTCCCGGAGTTTCTGCAAAGGGCAGCAGGGAGAGCTGGGGATCAGGGCAGGAACTCCAGAAGCCAACAAGGTGAGGCCAGAGCTGGGCTCCGCAAGCCTCAGCCACAGCTGGCCCTTCGTTTCTGCTCCGATCTCATCCTCCTCATGGTGGCCACGGCCCGCTGCTGCTCCTACCTGGGAGATCTCGGTGAGGATGATCCCTCGGTACTGCCTGGCCCGTCCCAGGGCCTCCATCTCAGCCAGGAAGTCTTTCCTCTCCTGGATTTCTTTGACCACTGAACGGAGAGAAGGGTCGTCATCGCACAGGGCAATGGGGCCCTCAGGCGCCTGGTGGGGAGGGGGCGCCGGGAGGGACTACCTCGGGGAAGGAAGCAATGCTGTGGTCACCCTCAAGGCTTCCCCGATTCTGGGCCCCTCCTGTCCCTCCCCAGCGCTAACTGGCCATCCCGGGGCTCACGTTCTTCAAACCGGTCCGGCGCGGGGGCTGGGTCCTTCCGCTGCACAGCCCGGGGCTTCTTTTTCCGCTCCTCCTTATCCTTCCCTCCGGCAAAGATGTTCTGGAGCCTGCGCTTCTCCTTCTCCAGGTCTCCTGAAAGGCCCAGAAAAGGCCCGGTGAGGGCACGGAGGGCCCCGGTTCATGCCGGCGTTCCCACCTGGGCATGCGCGCCCCCGGGCGCCTGGGTAACGCGGAGGGCCTTCGCCATCCGCACCTCCCAGCCACGCGCCTCTGAGCCTGTCTGGTCAGGTGGGCAGGAAAAGGGATCGAAAGAACCAACAAGAGCTTTGCCAAAACCCACACACTGCGCTGGTGCAGAGCAAGGCTAAGAAGGCTCGGTGGTCGCCACGGGGCAGCCTGCGTGCAGTGTCCGAGGGACTGGGCCAGGAGTATGGGGAGTGCACGGAGGAGGGGTGAAGGGCTCCCTGAGGTAGGCTGGGGCGCAGGGAGCGCTGGATCTGAGGCGCTGGGGCTCTGGTCCAGGCCCTCTAACTTACTGGTGGCTCGAGGCTTGAACTGCTCCCGGCTGTAGGCCCCATTGGCCTGGCACATGCTGGCAGGTCGGAGCTGGGACCGGGTCGCCAGGATGGGAGGCAGGTAGACGGCTGAGGCCGGCTGCTTGGCAGGCAAGACCCTCTGGCTGGATGTTGGGCTGCAGTACAGGGGCAGAGGGTCTCCTCCTGAGGAGGAAGAGGCTGAGGTGGGGAATCCACTGGATTCTTACCAACTTATAACGGTGGCACCTTCTTTACTGAGGCTAACAGCGCAGAAGAGTCTTCCCTACTCCCCTCTCAGCCCCCCTCTGCAATGGCAGCAATTTGGTGGTCTTGGTCCATTCTTTTTTTTTTTTTTTTTTTTAATGTATATTTTTATTGATTTCAGAGAGGAAGGGAGAGGGAGAGATAGAAACATCAATGATGAGAGAGAATCATTGATTGGCTGCCTCCTGAATGCTCCCCACTGAGGACTGAGCTCACAACCTGGGCATATGCCCTGACCAGGAATCGAACTAGTGACCTCTTGGTTCCTGGGTCGAAACTAATCCGCTGAACCACACCCAGCTGGGCTTGGTACTATACAAACAAGCTCATACAATGGACCACACTATGCTACCTTCCATAATAGACTCTTCACTTAACAGTGTATCACGGCTCTCTTTCCAGATCACTCCATTTACATGTAACTTATTTTTTACAGCTGCATGCTAGTCCTTACGATGGCTACATCATATATAATATTCAACTAGTCTCCTCATTTCAGAGATGGCTACATCATATATTCAACTAGTCTCCGCATTTCAGAAATTCAGGCTGTTTTTATTTTATTTTTGCCACTTCAAACAACGCTGCAATAAACGTTCTTGCACATCAAGCCTTCGCACTGGTGCTTTTATTTCTATAGATGGATTCCTAAAACCGGCTTGGGACACAGGGAAGGAGGGATGGTTTGGATGGTCATAGACACAAATCTGTCTCCCTGCCCCAGCCCGGACCTGGGGCTCTTCCACTAGGATCTGGCCCCTGTCTGTCCATCCCACCTTCTATCCATCCCCCCAGCAAATACGTAATAAGCATCTATTCTGTGCCAGGCCCAGACTGCTGCGGGTAAAGTGGTAAGAAAGGCCAAGGCCTGCCTTCACGGCGCCTGCATTTGAGGTGTGGAATAAGATAAAATACAGAGTATGTTAGGTGGTGGGACCCAGAGTGACAGCAGGATTCACAATTTAAATAGGATAGCCAGGGATGCCCTGGTGGAAAGACCCAACAGTGCTGAGGGGCCGGCTCTGCAGGTATTTTGGGGAAGAGGGGGAAGAGCAGTGGAGGCAGAGGAGCAGCTAGAGCAGAGGCCCTGAGGTGGGAATGTGCCTGGAATGTCAGGAACAGCCAGGGGCTCGGGTGCCAGGAAGGCAGTGAGCAAGGGGTGTGTGTGTGTGTGTGTGTGTGTGTGTGTGTGTGTGTGTATATGCTGAGTGGCCAGATTATTATGCGTTTAGAGATCATAATAATCTGTCCACTCGTGTCTCGGTGTATACACAGTTCTCTCCTTTGGAGAGCTCATATGGTATGTGTTTAACAGGGAGAAACAGGTTGCAGACATGACAGTTTTGAGACGATTTTGGCTGGGCGAGAAGTTCCAATGACTCCGATCTCTTGGGAAGGCTGGTTAGAGGGGGACTGCAGGAAGCTTGTTGTCCCAGGACGCATGTCAGGAGAGAGTAACAAAGGCCCCTCAAGGTCAATTCCCATGGGCAAGGTAAAAAATACGACACTGTACTATTGTGGTCTTTGAAAATGATGCCCACTGTCCTTCAGACAGAGGAGCACTCAGAACGTGGCCCAGAACCCCGCTGCCTCCGGGGGCTGACTTACTTTTCATGGTGTCCATGATGTGTCGCTGTTGGAACTTAGTCAGATTGGATTCCTTCATCATCACTGCAAGAGAAAGCCCTTCAGGAAGGCCGCCTGGGCTGCGGGCAGAGCCTTCAGCTCACACGGCTGAAATGCAAAGGTGCCATCTCCTCCCGCCATTCTGCTCCCAGGTACCCCCCGCTCTTACTCTCCTGCTTTATTTTTTCCTATAGCACTCATCGCCATCTAAGCTCTATAATTTTAATGTTACCCTCCCACTAAAATATTTGCTCTATGAGAGCAGACATTTTTGCTGTGTTTTTCTTCTTCCTTTTTTCATGCTTTACCACCTAGAACTGTGGTCGGCAAACTGCGGCTCGCGAGCCACATGCGGCTCTTTGGCCCCTTGAGTGTGGCTCTTCCTCAAAATACCATGGCTTGGGCGAGTCTATATTGAAGAAGTGCCGTTAGAAGAAGTTTAAGTTTAAAAAATGTGGCTCTCCAAAGACATTTCAATCGTCGTTCTGTTGACATTTGGCTCTGTGGACTACTGAGTTTGCCGACCACTGACCTAGAACAAAGCACACAGTGGGCTTTTACATGTTTTCCACTGAGTGAAGGAATGCATAAATAAATGAATGAGCAAGTATTCATTAAGCATGCCTCAGACACTGGAGCTACAATAGGAAGTCAAAACAGCAACAATCTTACCCTGATGGAGTTCCCGGGCTAGAGGTGTAGAAGGATGCTGATCAATGGGACACACTAAATATCTGACTACAGGTTATGCTGAGTCCAATGAAGAAAAGGTATTGGGTAAGGTGAGGGCATGTAGGTTCCATGTGGTGGTGGGTGGGGAGGAGATAAGGCTTCCCTGGGAGGACACAGACAGTGCGATCTAAGGGATGTGAAAGAATGATCTACTCAGAAATCTTCTGTTCTTTGACTTTCAGCCACTGGCAAGGAAGTTGTGGGACCTGAACCTTCCTGAACCCAAGGCTTCTCCTCTGTAAAGTGAATATGGCAATTACTAAGCCACAGGCCACCTAGGGGGGACCTGAGTTTCAGAGGATAACTGCTACCACGTCCCTTACCCTGTCCTGTAAGCGTACCAACCTCTGAGGAGCTGGCAGGTTCCAGGGGTGTAAGTGGTCTGCTTGGGGCAGCGACAGAACCCCGTTCCTTTGGTCACTGCCTTTACCCTTTCCTGGGAAGCCATGGGAGGGCTCTGCGGAGGATAAAGACGCAATGACACATCCGTCTCCCCGGTCCAATCCTCCCCCCCTCCCCCGCCCCCAGCACAGCAGCAGGCAAGTCTGGGAGCAGTCCAGCCCCATTGGAATTGTGACGCCGCCCTTCACTATGGCGACGGTGCCCTATCCTTCCACCCCGAGCAGATACGCAGGCAGATGCACACACGTGAGCAGAGACCTCATCTTGACCCGGTGTCTGTGGCAGGAAAAGCCCTAGAGGAAGGGGGCCTGAGCCGCGGTCACGACAGTACCTTGGGTGTTAGGCCCAAATTGAAACCTCACCCTAAAGAAAGACGCCGGTTGGGTGGGCCCCACGCAGACGGCGGCGGCTGGGACCCCACCCCGCCCCCATCAAAGAGCGGCGGCCGGGACCCACCCCGCCCCCAGCGGAGAGCGGCGGCCGGGCTCCGAAGGTCGAAGACCGTAATCCCGGTCCCACCGCCGCACCGCGCGGAGGCCCCGCAGAAATACTCCGAGATCCGGGTGTACGGAGCGGGCTGCTAGACGCCCTGGTTGCCATGGTAACGAGCGCGCGAGCTACTCGGAGCATGCGCACACGCCCACGGCATCGGCCCGCCCTCGGAAGGGATTGCTTCCGGGTCACCGCGCAGGCGCAGAGGACGCGTGGCGCTGCGCGAGGCGGACGCGCGCGGTTCGGGGTCTCCGCGCGCGGGTGTGGGGCGCGGAGCCGGGTCGCCGGGGCGCGGGCGTCATGTCAGACAACGAGGACAAGTGAGTGCGGGAGCGAAGCGGCCGTTGCGGGTCCTGGGGAGGGGCGGTGAAGCGGGAACCTGGGTGGAAGGAGGCTGAGGAGCCTGGAGTCGAGGAGCCGAGTCTGGGGGACCCGGGCTGCTGCGGGGGCCCGCGGGGCTGGAGCCGGGAGGGGCGGAGAGCATAGCCCGAGGTTGGACACAGGAAGGCTCGGGTTCGAGGGTCCAGAGAGGATCGGTGCCTTTCAGCCAACTTCCACCGCGCCGGGCTCCGTGCCGTGTTTGGGGACCAGGAGGTGTAGGAGGCACAGCCCCCATCCCCACGTGCTCCCGTTCTAGAGGAGGGGACCGGCCGTGGGCAGAGAACACATCCTGTGCGATGAGGCAGGTCCTCGAATGGAGTCGTTTTGTCTCAACCTTGAGGAGATGCTGTAGGAACGTAACTCCTGTTTGTTTCAGTGAGTCGGTGGTAACATTGGTTTGCTTCAAGTCGCAGAAGCTGTGGACGACGTTAAGTGAGGACTTACTCTACAGAAGCGGCCCAGGAGAGGGAGGGAGGCCTGGGAGGGCGGCAGTAACCGGGTGAGAGAAGGAAGTGGCTTGCACTAGTGTGATAGGGGAAGTGGTTTTGAGTTCTGGATTTATTTGGGAGCGAGGGCCACAATGATGTTCTGATGTGTGTGTGTGAGGTCCAAAGAGAGGTCTGTTCTGAAGATAAACAGAGGGGCTTGGTCAGCATGAGTGTGTGATTCCAAAGGAAGCAGCAGGTGAGGCCATCAGGGGAGTGTCCGTGGAGAAGGGGCCTGAGCCTTTCTGGGCCCCTCCTGGGGCCATGCTTTTGGCTCCCGCCCTTCCTGCTCGCTGGCCCCCTTGTCAGGCAGGGGTCCTCAAACTTTTTAAAGTGGGGGCCAGATCACGGTCCCTCAGAGAGCTGGAGGGCCGGACTATATGAACTACTAATTCCTACTGTAACACCTCGGCTGCGCTCACTGCCCAAAAAACCTGGCGGGCCGGATCAGACTCCTCTGCAGGCCGCATGTGGCCCCCGGGCCGTAGTTTGAAGACGCCTGAAGATCATCCCCACGGGAGTGCTTGTGGGGAGAGGGGAGAAACCTGCTGAGGTGACTGAGAAGAGCGGCCAGGGAGGAGGGAAACACCAGGAGGGAGAGTGTACTGAGGGAGAGGGGGTGGCCCAGGGTGTCAGCTGGTAGGCCAAGTGCAGTGAGAACATGAGTAGTCCATTGGATTTAACAACACGGAAATCATTAACAGTGGTTTTGAGGGAGTTATGGAGGTGGGTACCTTCCTGGAGTGAACTTATGACAGAATAAGAAGAGAAGAATGGGCCATGACAGGTTTGGCTTAGTGGATAGAGCGTCGGCCTGCGGACTCAAGGGTCCCAGGTTCAATTCCGGTCAAAAGCATGTACCTTGGTTTTCAGGCAGCTGATCAATGTTTCTCTCTCACTCACGTTTCTAACTCTCTATCCTTCTCCCTTCCGCTCTGTAAACAATCAATTAAAAAAAAAAATTTTTTTTTTAAAGAAGAATGGGAATCTGTGACATTGGACAACTCTTCCATGAATTTGCATGGAAAGAGGGCTCCATGGGGAGAGAATAGAGAAGTTTTGTTTATTTTTTAAGGTGGAGCAGTATCTGCATATTTATATGCTGATGGGAAATGATCCAGTAGAGAGAGAAAAGAAACGGTGAGGATGCATGAGTCCTAGCACAGTTTGGGGGGCTGATGTGAGTAAGTTTGAACACAAGTTTGATTCGCTCATTAAGTAGATATTTTATATATATATATATATATATATATATATATATATGTATATATATTTTAAATATATATATTATTGAATTTTTACAGAGAGGAAGAGAGAGGGATAGAGAGTTAGAGACATTGATGATAGAGAATCATCGATCAGCTGCCTCTTGCACACCCCCCACTGGGGATGTGCCCGCAACCAAGGTACTTGCCCTTGACTGGAATCGAACCCAGGACCTTTCAGTCCCCAGGCGGACACTCCATCCACTGAGCCAAATCTGTTTTGGCATTAAGTAGATGTTTATCGAGTACTCCCTCAGGACTGGCTGAGACACCCTTTGCCCTCTTTGATGCTATTAAGTGATGCCCTAACTAACCGGTCTCTTCTTGTACAGTTTTGATGGCGACGACTTTGATGATGTGGAGGAGGATGAAGGACTAGATGACTTGGAGAATGCTGAGGAGGTCAGTATTTAACCCTGGGCTCTCTCTTCTGCAGCCCAGGCTGCCAAACAGCCTGGCCAGTGGTAATTCCCGAATGCATCTCCCTCCTGTTTGTGCCCCTGCCACAAGCGCCCCCAGTTAGAGGGAGCAGAGTCCCGGTCCTGGGCGGTGAGAAGCTCTCCAGGGTGGGTCCGAAGGCTTCTGTCCATTTGGGTCACAGCCCATGGCTTCTGGGACAGTTACTTCACTGATAGGGAAATGTCACCTTCATCCATTCAACAAACGTGCTGCGTGTTCATTATGTGCCAGGTGCTCTGCAGGGCGGGGGTACATAGGAGCAAGGGGGAGAGCGACCTGGGATAAAGCTGGAAAGATGAGGGTCCAGATCAGGCAGATTTCATAGCTAAAGGTAGCGGGAAGCCACTGAGGAGTTCTGAGCAAGGGAGTGGCATGATCCAGTTTGCACTTTAGAAAGAGCATTCTGGCCTCTGAGTGAGGAGCAAATTGGAGGAACAAGAGAAAAAGAGAGAGACCAACTAGGGAACTCCCATAGACCTCTCAGTGAAAGGCCGGTAGCTTGGCCTTGGGCACTGCTAGTGTCAGTGATGAGAAACGGATGAAAGGTATTTTGGTGGGTTGGCTCTGGGGCTGAGAAAGTGGGAGGTGACAGGAGGGCTCCTAGGTTTCTGGCCTGAGCGGCGAGGTGGGTGGGTCACCAGCTCCATGAATGAGATAGGGCCCCCTCTTGTGTGACTGATGGAGGAAGAAGTGCTTTACGGCTCCTGAGCAGAGTGATCCTTGACTTCTTTAGGCTTGGAAGCTGCAGCCCCTCTTTTTGAATTTCTCTCTCAGGCACCTATTCACTGTGTCAGAAACCTCCTACGCACCCTTCTCAGCCCTTCCATTCCTGTCAGCGTTGCCTCCGACCTGTGGTTTAGCTCTGGTCCCTTTCTACATGCCTCGTGTTCAGCCTGGATTAGATCTGTATTGCTTTGCACTAACATAACTGCAGGAATTGTGTTCCTGGTTTTCCTGCCTTCATTCTGCCCTGATTGCTGCCGTCACCTTTCTTACCTGCCCTCGTGATTGATTACTATTGGTCTTCCTTACAATGGTCTCGTTGCTTCTGTTCTTGCCCCTACAGAATGTTCTCAACAGAGTACCCAGAGTGATGTCTTTTTTCTCTGTTGTCATACTGTACAGTTATTACTTTAAAAAAAATTTTTTTTATTGATTTCTTACAGAGAGGAAGGGAGAGGGAAAGGGAGTTAGAAATATCGATGATAGAGAAACATTGATCAGCTGCCTCCTGCACACCTCCTACTGGAGATGTGCCCGCAACCAAGGTACATTCTCTTGACTGGAATTGAACCTGAGACCCTTGAGTCCGCAGGCCAACGGCTCTATCCACTGAGCCAGTTAAAGCATCTGCTGCCATTTTTAATCTCTACCACATATAGGGGAAGAATTTTTATGTCTTCCTGCTCTGTCTCAAAAACTGATAGGTATGTAGTAAACACTCAATAAATATTTGTTGACTTAATTCTTTACTATAGAATTTATTCCTGCCTACAACCCTAGCGCACCTTTGCTCTAATCATACTCCACAATTAGTTGTCTAAACCTAGTACGTTCTCTTCCTCCTCCGTCCTTTGGACATGCAGTTCAGCCTTTCTTCACGTCCTTCCCTTCCCGTTGGCTTGGACACCAGTTAATTCTTCTACACTAGTTCAAGTCTCATCTCCAGATGTCTTCCTGCCCCCGTGCATGCATCAGGTGACCTCACCTTCTTGTGAACTAGGTTGCACACTTGCATACCTTCAAAGCACTGCTGTTCTGTTACTCTTTCTCCTTCCCAGACTCTGAATCCTTTGACAGCAGAAACTTTTAGCTTTCTGTCTCAACACCTATTACGATGTCTGGCATGTGACAAATGCTTAATAAGTAATTGTTAAATATATATAGAGAACATACTTAACAATTGAAAAATGTTTGCTAGTTTCTGCGTTCACTGACTTGGTAGCTACTTGACCCATTGACTCAGTTGTCCTGTCTGAAAATGAGATGGTTGCTCCTCGCTTCCTGCTTAGGGTGACTTGTCTGCACTCAGGGCTTCTTTGTATGGGGCCACTTGTCTGGGACAGCCCCGTCTCTGGACCCCCGCTTCTCTCTTCCGGAAGAGGCAGCTGGCTTGGATCCTGATCATCATTCTTCTCTCTTACTAGGTCTGAGACTGGCCAGTTCGCTAACTCTCCAGCCTCTAAAACGGCACTGCAGTCCCTCCCTCATGAGGTGACTGAGGATTAAATAAGGTGTCAGGAAGGCAGCTGCAGGGTTGCGGGGTGATAAGCAGTGGTGGTCATCATCATGGGCATCGCCATCCCCCCTCCCAGTAAGGTGCCTGAGAGCTTCCCTCTTTCTGCTCGGTGTGCAGGAGGGCCAGGAGAATGTGGAGATCCTCCCCTCTGGAGAGCGACCGCAGGCCAACCAGAAGCGGATCACCACACCATACATGACCAAGTATGAGCGAGCCCGCGTGCTGGGCACCCGCGCCCTCCAGATCGCGTGAGTGTGCGCCCGTTACTGTCTTTTCCGTCCGTCAGGCACAGGGAGCCTCTGAGCTGCTGATGTGGCAGCCTGGCACCTAAAACAGACTCTCCCTGCTGTCACATGCTCAGTGTGGGCTTAGAGAACCCTAGACCACTGCGGGCCAGTTAGCTGGACGTGCTGTGGCAGCCCATTGGGCTGATGGTGGTTCTAGTCCATAGCAGGCGATGGAGAGCCTCCATGGAGAGCCTCCATGGAGAGGCCATGCTAGCGATGTGAAAACAGAACCGTGACGGGGTTCTGGGGATTTGAAATTAGCAACCTCTCCTTTATCTTCCAAGTGTGAAGCAGCTGAAGAATAACAAGATTCAGGAGATAGCCATGGGTAGGCGGAGATGCAGATGTGAGATGAGTGCTGCTCAGACAGTGCAGGCATCGAGGCTGTGTCTGCGGGGCAAGCCTGCCTTCGGAGGCTGCAAGGCCTCCCCTCTGCAGGCAGGTGGCTTTCAGAGAGAGGGACTCCCCCAAAGCGAGGCCTCAGATGCCTGTTGTCCCCCTCAGGTTCCCCTGTCAGATAAGTCACTCCTCCTTCCTGGGGCAGAGAAGGCAGGGTGGGACTGTTGCTGTCACTGAAGGTCTCCTATGGGAGCCCTACCCAGCATTTCCGGCAGTTGGGCTGCTCAAGTAGGGAATATTGGAGACGAGGGTAGAAAGGAAGCTGGGGCTAAAGGAGCATGAGTCCCCTTCCTAGTTTTCAATCAGCTTGGGACTGACTTCCTCCAGTGAAGATGGCCACCGTGCCCACCTCGATTAAAGGCTTTCTGGCCGGTCAGCATTGCTCCTCATCCGTTCCGCAGTAGCAGACCTCTTGGTCTGGGCGCTCTCTGCTGGGCTGGGAGAAGCTAGGGCCGCAGTCTGTATGGTCATTTTGGTATCTTTGGATCCAGATCCTCTAGGCCACCATCAGTTATGGTAGCTGCTATCTACTGTGGCCATTTAATTTTAAATTAAGTACAATGAAAAGTTCAGTCGTTTGGTTTCATCAGCCACACTTTATATATTCAGTAGTCACCCGTGGCTGTGGTTTCCATAGGAGAGTGCAGAGAGAAGACATTCCCATTGTTGCAAAGCAGTTTATTGGTGGTCTGGTGCACATCTCTGCTAAAAATGACCGGCAGGAAGAATAGTTCATAAATTATTTTTCAAGTAAGTTAAGTTTCTCAAACATCGAGTAGGATACTGCGCTTTTACCTGTTGGGATGTGAAGATAATCAAACACAATCCTCCTGGCTTCCAGGTGTCTATAGCTTGGGGGGAGATGGACCCCTTCACAAATACCCAGAACCTGGGGCAGGCAGGCGCAGTGCTCTGTTAGAGGCACAACAAAGGGGAGAAGGAGTAATTGCTTGAAGAGGCTGGAGTTCAGGCAGGGACAGGGAAGGGCGGAGGATTTGAGGGTAACCCGGGAACAGAAACGGCATGAGTCAAGGCCAAGTGGAGGCGGGCAGGTTTGGCTTGTGGTGGGGAATGGCAGGTGGCTTGGGGAACAAGATTGGAAAGGATGTCATGGTGCCTTGAGGGACAGTTCAGAAGATTGGTGTGCATTTGGTGGGCAGTGTGCAGCGCTAAAAAGTGTGGAGACAGCCGGTCAGAGCACTGCTGAGGCCCAGGACCTGCTTTCTTTGGGAAAAGGCCTGGTCCCATCCAGCTGAGTCTGTAGTGCTCCTTCCCATGAAGGGGTGGCCGCTGTCTGGCTGTTCCCTGCCTGCTGTGAGTGGTGGGCATCAGGCCTGTAGCTTAGCCCTCGCACCAGGCATGCAACCCTGCAGTCAGGTGCTGAACATTTCCTGGATAGTTTTTGAGTGAAGTCTCACTCCTTTCCTTAGCACCACCTAGTGGTGATGTGTGCTACAGCACTTCCTGAGAATCACTGCCGTGTTCTTTTATGGTGGCTCTGGTTACCTAAGGGCACACTCACACTTAGCACATTGCATGCACACAGTAGGGCTGGATGAGTAAATGATCTTTAATTATTCATATTGTGAAAATAAAGAAGGCATATGCAGATCATGTAAGGCATTTTTACCACATTCTTTAAAGCTTTAACATTTACCGAGAGAGGATATAGGGCAAGTTAAACACGGTCTCTGCCCTTGGGAAGTTTTCAGGCTTTTGGAAGTAGTAAATCAAAGTATTTAGTAATAAAATTAGTAAATTGTCTGGTATAAACTGGGGGCAGGAAGAATAGTTGATTACCAGAATCAGCAGGGAGCTTTGTAAATGCAGGTTCTCAGGCCCTTTCACTGGAGAGTCTATTCTGAGGGTCTGGAAAAGGATCCTGGGACCCTGGCTTTCGTGTACTTGCCTAGTAACTGATGATCAGGTTTGGGATCTATTAGTGTAAACTTGAGCTGGCATCATTAGTGGCTTCCTAGCAGAGGCGGGCCGAGATCGGTGTTGAGAGCCTCTGCTGAGGGTCAGGCATAGCCAGCGCAGTCCTGGGCCACAGGTGCTCGTCATGTCTGACGTGGAAAACTTCCAACAAGTGGTTAGAGGCCAGGGAGGCTGGTGCCGAGAGAAGCCTGTGTAAATGGCCGGCACCGAGGATCCAGCGCCTGATCCCCAGAGTGGAGGCATTGGGTCTCTCCAGGCCGACAGGGAGAGGAAGAGCGGTAGGCGGACACACACAGGTAACAACAGTGTCTGTCAGGGAGCCTCCGGGTGGGGTGTGGTGGGAACACGGGGTGAATATAGGCAGGTAGCATGAGACGTGCCAGAAAGGTGAGCAGGGGCCAGTAAGCAGGCGACGTGGGCCCTGTGCGGAGGCTGGAAGCGCAGGACTTCTGAGGGGTGTTGCCAAGATGGCGAAGGGAAATGGGAGCTGGGCCCTGAGGCAGGGTCTGGGGGGGCGGTGGGTTAGAGCCGTCAGGAGGGGAACTTTTGCTCTTGGCATTTCTCTGTGCTGGGAAACTGCCTAGGCCCTGGGAAGATCCTGAGAGGGGAGCTGACACAGGGAATGGCCTTGTGATTAGAGCTTGTTCCTGTCTCAGGCACAGTACCCATTTTTTAGTTTGTGGACCTTCAGCTTATAAAGAGGGGTGTTATAGCACAGTTGGTAGGAGCACGTGGGTTCACATCTTGGTTCTGCCACTTACTGGCCGTGTGACCTTGGACAAGTTACTGACCTCTGCCTCAGTTTCCTCATCAGTAAGATAGAATACCGTTTGCCAGTGGTGTCCTAGCGTCATTGTAGGTGAGGCAGGGCTTTTTGTCTTCATTTTCAAATGAGGATACTGAAATTTAGGGAGAAATTCAGTCTGGAGCAAAATTTAAACCCGGTCTACCGGCTCCCACTTGCATACCCTCACTGTCAGTGCCCCTAACCACTGCTCCCCACCTGCCATGCCTAGAAGGTGACCTTTCTTAAAAAATAAAAAAGCAGGTGACCTAGGTAAGGACTGGGGTGCCCATCCAATCCTGTTTGTGAAGTAAGCCCCACCCCACTCCCAATTTCCTGTTGGACCTTTTTCCCTGCGTTTGCAGTCTCCCCAACACCTGTCCCTGTACCTACAGGATGTGTGCCCCCGTGATGGTGGAGCTGGAGGGGGAGACGGATCCCTTGCTTATCGCCATGAAAGAGCTCAAGTAAGTTGCCCAGACCACGGTTTGCTGCTCCAGAGCCCTGGCAGGCACCCCTGGATTCTCTGCTGCACCCTGACCCACTCCCTTCCCGGGAGGCGGTGATTGTTTTGTGGGTCTTGGCTTGATTAGGAGTCAGCGCTTTGGGACGGAGGAGGAAGAGGGAGGAGGGGCAGGCAAAGGGGAGGCCGCTGAGGAGACAGCACCTCTCCTGGCTGTCAGAGCCCCCTGTTCCTGCTGCAGTCTGCCTTCCAGCCCCCACTCCTCCTCCTCCCCCCTCAGACATGGCTGGCAGAGCCTTCCAGACCACTGTCCCACACTCGCGGACGCAGGAACCTTCTTTTTATTGCAATTCCATTCCTAAAAGTACTTCAGCCCCAGGAAGGTGCTCCCTGAGACTTCTCTTTTCTCGCACCTGCAGTCAGTCTGCCCCTCCTGCTGCAGAGCTGGGTCTCAGCCCTCATGTACATGTGCCTTCTCCCCGCACAGGGCCCGAAAGATCCCCATCATCATCCGGCGCTACCTGCCTGACGGCAGTTATGAAGACTGGGGGGTAGACGAGCTCATCATCACGGACTGAGCTGGACTCATCTTCCAACTGCGCCTCCCCCCACCTCCTGTTCCCACACTCTGCCCATGTAAATAATAAACTATTAACCTTTCCACCCTCTGCCTCCGGCTGTCTGCATGCCACCAGCTTCTGCCCGCCGTCTAGAGCTACATCCATCCCGGTGGCCCTGTGACTGTCAGCTCTTTACTAGGAAGAAGCACCAGGGCCTTTACCCTGTGGACACCCGCATCCTTCCCTCCCGCTCCCCTTCACCAGAGCAAAGGCTGCCGCAGGGGGACACCTCAGCTGCCTTCCCAGCAGACAGACCAGCCTTTGTGCCCAGGGAGCCGGTTGCCATGGAAACTCCCAATTTCCTTTCCAGTGGGGACTGGCTGCAGGGGCTTCTCCCTTCTCAGGAGTATCACAGAGCAGGTCTCATCAAACCACCCATTGTTTCCTAAGGACCTGCCTCGAGCCTCTTATCATGGGCCGGATCCCCTTTCAGGAGCAGGGCCCAGCAGGAAGCTCGGGCACGGTGATCTCCGCCCTCCCCAGGCAGAGCCCTGCTGGCAAGTCAGCTGGCGCAAGCACCTGGCACCTGCCCACCTGCCCCCCTTGTCCCCGCTCCTCAGGCCACTGCCCACACGGTGCCCTCCATGGCCCGCCTCCCTGGTCTGCCACACCCATACCCTCTCCTTCCCAGCCTCTGGAGGATGTCCTTCCTGTCCAGTCTGGGCCCGTGACCCTCTGAGGCCTTCCCTGGGGTGGGTGCTGGGGTCATAGTAGGCAGGAAAGCAGGATTCAAGGCGTGGCTTTAAATCAGGACTGGGGCACACCCTGTGTCCTAGGTCCTCATGGCTCCTGTTCTCTTCACCTGCTTACCCGACATGCGGTGAGACCAATCACGTTGGAGCCTCCCTCCCTGGGGGCGGGGAACAGGGAGAGGGTTTATATGGACACCAACAGAGACAGAAAGGAAAATTGGCTCCCTGAACATACCAGCCTTAACCTCCATTCTGCTGGCAGCTCCCCTTCCAGGAAGAGGAGCAGCGGGCCAGCCTGCCTTCCCCAAGAGGCATGGCCCCAGGGTGGGTGCACCCCGGCTGGACAGGTGGGAGTGATGAGCGGTCAGTCCCAGGAGGGGTGTTCGCTGCCTTGGAAGAGGGTTAATTCAGGGAGCAGAGGACTTCGCACCCCCTCCCACCCTCCTCCGAGCCTGTGGAATCCTTTAATCAAGTTGGGTGCTGAAATTTCAGCTCTGAAATGCCGCCTTTGTGCTGGCATCCAGGCGGCCGCCCCAGAGCGCAGGGTCACTTTCTCGGCCCCGATTCTCTAAATGGCCTCTTTGTTCCCGCTGGGCCACTCAGTATCAGATGTGATTAAAGGGAGATGGGGTTTGGGTGGGGGCGGAGAGAAGGGGCTGGGAGAGGGAGTGGGGGGTTAACCCTTAGGGAATAGGGTGTAGGAGAGGGAGAAGGGGGTGTTTTTCCTCCCACCTCCCCTTTTCCACTCTGTTCCTCTTTCAGGGAGTCAGTCCCTGGCTTTTCCGCTGGCCAGGCCTGGGCATGGTCTTCACCTGGCTCCTCTCTTTACATGTGGTCACTCCCTGACCGAGGCCCCGGCACATCCGGAACCTGAGGCTAAGAGATGAACACAAGCCAGGTCTTCCGACTTCTCTAGGATCACTTGTTCATTTTCCCTCTTGCCGAGTCCTCATTGACTTCCCAGTCAATCTCATGAGATGCAGAGTCCCGCTGAGAGCAGGAGCGGTGAACAGACAGGAGATGGACTAATACCTGTTTTCCATTAGAGGTGAAAGGGCAGGTTGTAAAAATTACGAGCACATAAGGTTACTACTGATTGACCCTGACACATATCTAGGATCGGTTATTACATATTGAAAAACAGATCATGAAGAGATCCAGGGATTAGCATAGGGTTTCTCAGAATGTTACCACGTGTTTCTTCAATGGTGGCTTCTCTGGAAGGTCGGAGGCTACAGCAAATCTTGGCTAGGCATTAGGCAGTCTGTAGTAGGATGAAGTGTGGACTTCGTGGTGATAATAGATACAGAATTGATTGCCAGTCCTAAGAGTGTAGTAACAGAACTAATGAAGGATTTAGTGGATTCACAGGGCCTGCTTCTCTTCATTTTTTATTAATGACGGGAATAGGATATTCAGGTTTGCAGATACAGGAGAGCTAGTAAGTTGTATTCAGGATTCCAAAAGGTTTAATGCAGATGGGAAATGGTCAATTCCAACAAGATGAACTGTTAAAGATCAGTATAAAATCCTGCATTCATCTACAACAAAATGAAACACCGGACACATCTTACACACGGTTTGGGGCGATCGGACTTGGCAGCAGATGCTGTTCATGAGAACGAGTTCGCAGCGATCACTAAGCTTCATGGAGCCAGCAGTTTTGGTGAGGTTGCCTAAGAGCTCACATGACACAGTTCCCAGATGGGAGTCTGGCCGCCCTGGAAGACTGGGCTAGGTCCTGGGACAATCTTCCCCGCTCCTCCCAACTCCACCCCACCCAGGTCCCTACGAGGAGGTGAGAGGTGGGTAAGGGAGCGGAGCTGCTGGTCTGGAGCAGTGGAAAAAGCATCCTTTCAGATTAAAAGTGGAAGTAGGGCCTGCAGATGATGGTTAAGAGCTCAATGGAGCCAGAGCATCAGCACTTCTTAGCATGAACCTCGAAGCTTCCGTTTGCCCATCTGGAAAATGGGGACAAAGACCGGATCTGCTCCCTCAAAGGCTTGAATGACATACAGCACTTGGCCAGGGAGCGCTTCGTAAGTGGTAGCTTTTACCGCTCCTATGAGCTGGGTATAAGGAAGACTTCAACCATCGGAGCCACCCATCAGTGGAGCATTCCCTCCGTTCCTGAGGTGGAGTGGCTCCTGCCCCCCAGCACAGCCTGGAATCCAGCTGAGGAGAGAGCTCCGAGGGAGTAAGCACTGAGGGTTAGACTGCACTTCCGCCATCCCGGGTTCACACTCAGACACAGGCAGCTGCTGTGAAGATGGGCGAGACCCTAGTGGGTGTTTATATGTGTGTGGGGGTGGGAGGGGGGGCGGGCAGGGGGTGCAGAGAGAGAAGGCCCAGCATCACATCCTAAAGGACTGGGCAGGCTGGCCAGACACCAAGAAGTCAGGCCTGACCCTCCTCTCTCAAGTATCTCTCTCTCTCTCTCTCTCTCTCTCTCTTTAATATATTTTATTGATTTTTTACAGAGAGGAAGGGAGAGGGACAGAGAGCCAGAAACATCGATGAGAGAGAAAGATCGACCAGCTGCCTCCTGCACACCCCCTACTGGGGATGTGCCCGCAACCAATGTACATGCCCTTGACTGGAATCAAACCCGGGACCCTTCAGTCTGCAGGCTGACGCTCTATCCACTGAGCCAAACCGGTTTCGGCTCAAGTACCTGTCTCTTGAATTCTTTGCAAACTCGCCCTCCTCTGCTGGGCAACCAGAGGGGCTGCTGGGAAGGCGCTCAGGCCGAGTTCCAGCTTGAGCCAGGGAGGGGCCCATCTGTAGGGTGGGCACAGCTGGGCTGGGGGAAGAGCTCCCATCTGAGGCCCCAGCCCCTGAGCACACCGACTCACTGTGAGGCCCCCACCTTCCTAGGCAGAGAGGAGACCTGTGGGTTTGCCATCCTTTGCATTCCACCCCTAGTGACTCCCAGGCAGTGTCTGAGGAAGCACAGGCACAGGGAGAAGAGACCAAGAGACAGGCCAGGCCCACCAAGCAGGTAGCTGGAACCTTTAATTTTATTATGGGGAATGCTTAATGCAGAGTTAATAGGAGCTGGCGAGCCTAGGAGCAGGGCAGGGGGAGGGGAGAGGGAGCTACTGAGATAAATAAGAGGGGGCAGTAATGAGTTACATGTGGATTGTGGGGGCTGCAGAACAGGAAAATAGGGGCAGACAGCTACATACTTTATTCGGATACCATGGGGAGCGAGGGGCAGAAGGCCGGGGCAGAATGTACATCTCAGGAGTTTAGTGTCTTCAGATGCTGCTAGCAACCTGGTGCTGAGCCCCTTACCCTCCTGGAGCCGAGGGTTTGGGCGCGAGCAGCGTAGCTCTCGGGGAGCCCAGGAGTGGGGCGGAGAGCAGGGGCCACGGAGCCTGGTGAGGGGAGAGGGAGCTGGCGGAGAGCCGAGCTGGGAGGAAGGCTCTGTGAATTGTCTCCGAATCCTTTCCTCACCTCCGGGATGTGCCTCAAGGCCTGGGAGGCCGCAGTGGAGGAGGACCTGGGGCCTCTTCCCAGTTAGACAAGAGCCAGGCTGGCATAGAACTGGGGTCTCTAAGTTGATGCCTTTCTTTGTTCAGGAGGGAGGGGGTGTTGGGGGCCTGAGGACACCTCCCTCTGAGCCCCCACCCACCCACCTCCACGCTCTCGGAGGCTGTTCAAGGCTGTCCTCAGCCCCCACGGGGCAGACATAGCCACTCCCGGCACTGAGGCAGGGTGGCCTTGACTGAGGCACGTGGACAGGCAGCATGGGCTATGTCGGGCCCCTCGTTCTCCACGAAAGAGGAAACAGTCACAGGAATGGCAAGGCCTCCGATTCCCATCCGACCCTGGGTGCTCCCCTCCCAGACGACCTTCCCGGTCCTGGGATGGAGGGTCACCTGGGGGAGGGTGCAGCCCTTCATGGTCCAGTCTAGGGGCGAAAATCAAGCTCCTCCCCCTCCTCTGCCCAGCCTGGGAGTCTAGGGCCCTGCCGGGCTGGAGCCTGGGTCGGATGGGGTGGGGTCATCAAAGGCAGTGAGCCAGACAGAAGGCCTCCCCTCAGCTGTCGGCCTCTGCCGCCTCCTCCCCAGCCACCACCAGGACGGAGATGGGCGGGGACCTGGGTGCGAGGGCTCGGGGAAGGGCATGCTACCCAGGGGCCGGGAGGGGAGGCGACGGGGCCCCCTTTAAGGCCGGGACAGCGTCGTGTATACTGGCTGCTCCCAGTGCGTGGGGCTGTGGGACTGGGGCCCCGAGGGGCTGGGGTCAGAGATGGCCGTGTAGAGGGGCCGCTGGGAGGGCCCCATGTAGGAGAAGGCCGAGTAGAGGCCGGAGGCCTGGCCCGAGTGGCCGTAGTAGGGTCCCG